GAAACATAAAATTTTAGAAAATCTGAAAAATATTTTAATAATAAACCTTAATATTATACAATCTTTAAACTTTAATTAATTATAATTTTTTAATAAAGTTAAAAAAGTTTTTTAACAAAGTTTATAAAGTAGATTTTTAAAAATATTTTTACTTAGAAAGTATATTACTAAAATTAATTGTTAAAATTTTATTATAAAAATTAATTTTAAAAAAATTAATGCAGACAAATTTGTCTGTGTTATAATCTAAAGGATAATTCTTTTTTTGTACTGTTTTTATTATTATTTAATAAAAAATAATTTTATATTTTAAAAATTAATTATTCAGTGAGTAAATTTAAATTAAGTAGACATTATTTAAATATTATTGCTTAATCAGTTTAAGCTTTTTAATAGTGATGGACCTTCTAAGTTATTATTAATAATTTTACAATACTGTAATTTTTTACAATTCCAAAAATATTAAATATTAAGTATTAGATCACTGTTAAAGAGCATAAATTTCTTAGTAAAAATTAGTAGAGATTTAATATGATGTTGGAATGCCAAAGATTACTAGCAATATATAAAAGTTATATAATTATAAAAGAGAAAATTCCATTAGTTCATAGTCTATCATCAATTTAAATAATTCTTCCATTATTAGAATCAAATAACTTGCTTTATAATCTTTATTAAAAACTCAAGAAAGGTTTATTTGGTATAAAAAACGTTTTTTGTATGCTAGCTGCATTCCAACCCTATAGAAAAACTATTAAATTTCATTATTAAATTTGCTATTTTTATATTCTTTAATCATAATTTATCTCTTAAATATTATTAACTAATTAAAATTTTTTTTTATTAGCAAAAACTTACAGGTTTTATTACTAGTTATAAGGTTTATGCAAAGCCAATTTACAATTTCTATTTCTAAAATTCAGTATTTAATCAATATAATATAAGATAAGTATTTAATAATTTGAACTATTTGAAAGTAATATATTTAATGAAATCAAATACTTCTTTTCTTCAGCATTTAATTACAAGCATATATTTTTATAAGTCTTTTATTTACAAAACACATTAATGAATTACTTTATAATATTGGAACAATATCTTTATACTATTGAAAGTTTACAAAATATAAAAATAAAAACCTATTATTTTAAGGTTATTAAATATTTCAATAATATTCATTTGGTATTACTATTATTTTAAAAAGTTTAATGCCAAATGAATTGTAAAATTTATTGTTTATAAAAAACCTTATGTAACATCTCTTAGGTCTGGGTTCTATAGCTTAGTGAATAAGCTCCCAGACCTACCATAAACAAAGTCAATAGTTCAAGTTTAGCTGAAGGCAAAATATACTCTGTAATCTAATTAAAAGCCTATAACTGGATATGAAGCCCTGTGCACAAGTTCAAGTGAATACCTGTTTGAATTAGGAATTTTTGAAAGAAAATCAACCTATGAAATGCAAACATTATACTTAGTGAGAGAAGTAATGAATACAAGAAAACCTGTAAAAAAGAATTGGCCTTACTAATTGGAGAACATCTCTGGCAAAAAAAATCTATAACAGATATAGTTGTAGGATCTACCTCTGTCTTGGTAGAGTTTACCTTATAAATAAAGTAGCTCAAGGGCCTGATGCATATCAAATTAAGTTTAGTATTACAGAAAAAACATTGAAAAATTAGAGACTTTAAATAAGAAATCCACAGGCAGGTTTCAAATATGGCAATTAGCAAGTAATCTGTAGGCAGAACCTTTAAATAGATGATAACTAAAATTGTATATATGGCTAATTGTAGTCTCGTTGATATGCAAAATATAATACCTCTCTATATAAGTAATAAGTAGACATTATACTTAATAAAATCCACAGAGTCATAGAGGTTTTTCTTTAAAAAAAAAATAAATAAAAATAAAAAACCTTGTGTTTATAAAAAATTTTTTTGTTACATAATTGAAGCTCAATGAAAGATTGATAAGTTAGGCTTAGCATAAAAGATCAATAAGTTAGACTTAGCATGAAAGATCAATAAGTTATTAATGATAATATAATAAAAAAAATAGTGCATTTTTATTGGCCAAATTTTGTACTAAGTCATAATTTTTAAATTTGGAAATCTTGTATTTCTATTAGACAAATTGGCACTAAGTTATAATTTTCAAATTTGGAAGTCTTGTATAACAATAAATGTCCACTATGCTTGATTTTTTATTATGCAAGAGTTTTTCAAGTTATATAATAATTAGTAACAAATTTAGCCAATAAAAAATCTAAATTTAGTGCAATATAACACAATTAGAAAAATTTAAAATAAATGTTCATTTTAACAAAAAACCAAGAATTTACAGTTTTACCAAAAAATTCCAATATTTAAAATCTCAAAATCCATAATTCTAATATCACACAATGTGACAATTAAAATTTAAAATCAGAAAATGATTGTTAATATGATTACTAATTTTTAAATATTAATTATTATATGGTGTAATGTTGAGTTTATAATTTTTGAGATTTTAGATGTCGAGATTTTATGATAAAACTAGAATTCATATAAAAAACTACTTTTTACATTCTAATAAAATTTTTTTCTTGATTAATTTTATTATATAGTCTTAATTTTAAAACTCTAAATCTAACACTAACTTTAACCTTAACAAATTTAAGAAATTTGAAATTATTTTGTTCATTATCATGTGACCAAAAATTTTTTTGGTCACCCTGATGAATTGACTTTCATTTATAATAACAAATGTTAATTATATCAAAATTTATATAAATATAATAAAAACTCATTTTTCAAAAAAATGTAAAAATAGGCTGTTTCTATTGTTTATACTCCATATATTTATATAGAATAAATTCTATTCTAAAATTCTAATTTATTTAAGAAATTTAAAATACACTTAGATTTCATTTTCACAATGTATAAATTTGTGCTCTTTATTTTTTCACTATTTTTAGGAACTCTTTTCATAAATATTTAAACTATTAATTTTCAAACTCTTGCTTTGTAGTTAGTTATTGTATTTAATAAATAACATTCTATTAAAAAATTTTATTGTAGAATTTAAAATACCTGAAGAGATATTAATGCTGAACCTTTTATGATAAATTTTTAATCACCAAATATAAATATGTTGATAATTTTATGTTTATAGTTAAGTAATAGTATAAACTAACTTTTATATAAAATTATATCAAAAAAAAATAAATAATATTAAATAAAATTTTTGAATTTTAGTATAGCTGGCTTTAATTTTGATTGGTCAATCACTAAATGTATTGTCACATATTAAACTATATATATTATCTGACTTTAAATAAGTTGGCAAAGGATACAACATATAAATTTTAAAACTACATCTTTTATTCTACTTATAATAAAACTAATTGCAGTTAGCGAATATACCAAAAATGGACATTGAAGATCATATCTTTTATAGTATAAACATGTTGATCAAAAAATTCTAGATTTTATAACACATGAAGATTAACCAATTAAATTAACTAAAGAATAAATAAAACTATTAGTGAAGCTTTACTTTTATTAAATAATTAATTTATTTTTAATGATCACTGTTAGTGCTTATTATATATTATATACAATATTTAGTTTATACTAAGTATTCAATACTATAATCTGTATATACAGAGCATGGTGAACATCTATTGTTATACAAAACTTCCAAATTTGAAAATTATAACTCAGTGCCAATTTGTCCAATAAAAATACAAGATTTTCAAATTTGAAAATCATAACTTAGTACAAAATTCAGCTAATAAAAATGTACTATTTTTTTTATTATATTACTGTTACTAACTTATTAATCTTTTATGCTGAGTCTAACTTACTGATCTTTTATGCTAAGCCTAACTTATTGATCTTTCGTTGAGCTTTAATTATATAGCAAAAAAATTTTTTATAAACACAAAGTTTTTTATAAACAATAAATTTTACAATTCATTTGGCATTAAACTTTCTAAAATAATAGTAATACCAAATGAATGTTATTGAAATATTTAATAACCTCAAAAATAATAGGTTCTTATTTTCATATTTTGTAAACTTTTAATAGTGTAGAAATATTGTTTCAATATTATAAAGTAATTCATTAATGTATTTTGTAAATAAAAGACTTATAAAAATATATGCTTATAATTAAATGCTAAAGAAAAAAAGTATTTGATTCTATTAAATATATTACTTTCAAATAGTTCAAATTATTTGAATACTCATCTTACACTATATTGATTAAATACTGAATTTTAGAAATAGAAATTGTAAATTGACTTTGTATAAACCTCGTAACTAGTAATAAAAACTGTGAGATTTTGCTAATAAAAAAAATTTTTAATTAGTTAATAATATTTAAAGAGTAAATTGCAGTTAAAAAGTATAAAAATAGCAAATTTAATAGTGAAATTTAATAGTTTTTTTATAAGGTTGAAATGCAGCTAGCTTATAATAAAAAGTTTTTATGCCAAATAAACCTTTCTTAAGTTTTTAATAAAGATTATAGAGCAAGTTATTTGATTCTAATAATGATAAAATTATTCAAATTGGTTTGGTAAACTGTAAGCTATTAAAATTTTCTTTTTTATAATTATATAACTTTTACATATTGCCAGAAACCTTTAGCATTCAAATGTCATATTAAATCTCTGCTGATTTTTACTAGAAATTTATGCTCTTTAACAGCAATCTACTACTTAATATTTAATATTTTCAGAATTGTAAAAAACTACAGTATTGTAAAATTATTAATAATAATTTAGAAGGTCTATTACTATTAAAAAGCTTGAACTGATCAAGCAATAAAATTTAAATAACATCTACTCAATTTAAATTTATCTGATGAACAATTAAAATTTAAAATATAAATTGTTTTTTTATTAAATAATAATAAAAACAATGCAAAAAAAAAATTATAATAAAATTCTATGTATTTATATTTGCAATATTAGCACTTAAGAATTTTTCAAGTGCTGTATTATAAGCTTAATCTATTATTGGTAAAGCTAGCTGATTTTTTTGAAGCACTTCCAATATGTCATCTTTGTCTACTATCTGCTGATCTTGTAGACTATTATTATCAGCATCTAAATCTTAATTTATTCTTATTATCTAATGTACTTAATTATAAAAGTAAAAATGAAATATTATTTTGTATGCCTTGTTTGAGAATTTTTTACAATGATGACATTTTTTATTTAATAAATCAAAAAAAACAGCTCTTATAATATCTATAACCATATATAATAACTATAAAGCTTTTACTTGTCTTATCAAACAATAGTTTATAGCAATAATTATATTTGTTATTCAATGATAAATGCTTATTACTGAATTCTAACAGCATTTGCTTTTTATCTACTTCAAGATTTAATAATGTTAGGCTATAAGTAATTTTGTTATTTATATCTTTGATAATAAAGCTTTGACCTAGTCTTTGGTACATTTTACTGAAACTTCAAGAAGAAACTCTTTTGTCTTTTTTATTAATAAAGACAAATTATTTTTATTTGTATATGTCAATTTTTTTTGAATGACAAACATATCTTCAAATGTGTTAAGATTTTTCTTGGCATTAATGATCTTGGCTGTTTTCGAAACTTGTTGCAAGGTATTGAGAAAAGAGGTTTGTTATTGTATTATACTATGCATATTCTTAACAAGATAATCTGTAAATTTAACTAGATGATTTTGTGTAATATGTTTAGTATTAGGTAGTTATTCTGGCTCTAACAAAATATATCTGAAAGAAATATTAAAGAAGCCTTGTTATAATGCACCTTTCAAACTACAAAAAAATATACCAAGTTTGAAATACATCTGCGATATATGATTTCCAAACTTTAGATTGAAATAAAGTTGAATATATATCTAATCTGACTAGTATTGTATTGTTTAATAATTCAAATATAAATAAAAATTTAAGATTATTACAATACTTACCAAACTTTTTATTATTATTTGTTTTATTTCATTTTAGATACTTCTTAGTAGTTCTAAAAGCAGAAATATTCAATATAAACTTGGTAAATAGCTAAGATCTTTATTTGTACTAAAAATATATTAATATTTTATATTAAAAAAAATTTAATACATCTTCATTATAGATTTAAGTAAGTTTAATTGAATATAAGAACATTAATAATTAGAATGAAAGACAATACATTGTCTGATATATTAATGTTATTACAGTTTTGCAAGTAAAAAGTAATGGCTTGTTGTGTAAACACTTGCTCAGACCAATCAGCTACAATTGGAATAATATTATTAGTTAAATAACTATTTAATAAAGAATTTTTATAAACTTGTTGTAAAGTATTGATATATAGGTTTAATCCTTTAAGATTTAATTTAAAAAAGTTTAGAAGAATTGTGTCTTTTATTTTATGCTCTTTTTGCTGTTCTTGTATATGAGCATTATATTTATAAAGAATCATATTTTCAAGTTTATTGTTCAAAGGTATTTCACAATAAAAATAATTATTAAATGTTTTAGCTATTCACTCTATGTAATAGTAGTCTAAAAAATTGCAAATTAGTTTAAAATCAATTAGATTTGGATTATAAATTGATACACCATTTGGTACAATTCATAGGATAGCTACTGAATTAACATCATTTAATATCAAAGTTATCATATATAATATACTTGATGTTAAACAAGTATTTGGAAGTTGCTTAGTATAAATATTATAATAATCATTAACATTCAGCACTAATTCATTATTTTTTTTACTTTCTAGATAGACAGCAACCTTATATAGATGATTGTAAGCAATAATTGCCTTTTTTCTATCTAGATATTTTCATAAAGTAATTATACCAGTATGTGATAAGGCATTTATAGCTTTCGTAAAAACTCTTATTAAATTTATAAAAAGAGAGATGTCTTTTTTAAATGCTATTATTAGAGAATTTTGATTGCTACAAATAATATAACATTTCATTACTAATTTTTTATCTAGCATATCTAAATATTTATTAGTTTTATTTTTAGAAAGTAATATGTTATAAATTGAATCAAAGAAACTACTTAGTCTAAAATCCTTAATTATCATTTCTTTTTGTAGCTGTTTAAAGCTGTAAATTACTGGTCCTTATTTATTTTTTTCTCAATAATATAGATGTTTAGTTAGAACATTAATGCTATCTACTGATGAAAGATTATGATTATTTTTTACTACTTCATCTTTTAAGTTTTAAAGCAAAATAGCTATGCTTTGATTCCAATATATCAAATAATATTGATATGCCAAAGAGCATTTAAGTCTTTTTTACTTAGTCTCTTTTTTGTTTTCTAACAAACCATTACTTTGATTTCATTGAAAAATAAGCTTAATTGCTTGTTCTTACTCTTACAAATAAATCGAAGTTAAGAAAATTTAACAATTACCAAATTGTTTTTTATAACTTCTTTTTTAAAAATAATATTAGTTAATAAAGAAATATTTTTAGACATAGAAATACTATCATCATTTCTATATCTCTTTAAACCTCTCTCCTATTCTACAATGTGTTTCTTAAAAGTACGTATTCTATTTATTACAATTACATTATAACAACTAAAACACATATACTCATCTTTATGATCTTTATAGTATAAAACTAAAGTATTATTTGCTTCTGCTTTGATCAGTATATTCTTAGTTATTTTTTTTCAGAGTAATGTCATAATACATTTGCAAATCTTTACAATGCACCATTTGCCTGAATTTTAAGTAGATCTATCATTTATTTTTTATAAAATTCATGTCTAATAGAAAAACATAAATATTTTAATTATTTTTGATTAATTTTAACAGTATGAGAATGCAAATCACTAACTCTTTCTGATGATCACTTGTACCAAATTTTTTTCTAAACAAAACTGCTCTTTTCTCAAATTATTATTAAGTAAACCTATTTTGGCTGCCTAAATAAAATTGTTTCTCATAGAATTTTACATATAGGTAGCCTACTTTTATATCTCTAAAAATGTTTATCACTAGGATATAACTAAATTAAATAAATTTCTATTATTACTAAATACTTATTATTTTACTAAGTAAAACATAGTAGCTACTTAAAACAAAAAGATTTAGTATATTTTTATCTTCATTTTAATATATTATATTCTCTATACGATTAAAAACTGATAGTTTTATTAAAAAATATATTGAAACTCTTATAAAATTTTTTTTTTAAAATTTTGGGAAATTTTTTTTCTTTTTTTTGGGAGACCCTGACCCTCTAGGGCGCCCCAGACCTGTAGATCTCTATTACTAATCAAAATTACTAATTATTTTATACAAATCTATTCTTGTTTCTTCTATTTTTAAACAAAATTTAATATTACTAATTTTGTCTTAATAAATTTATACAAATTTTGCTTTATGTTGATTACACCAATCACTTAGGTGTCACACCAGGTGCTACCTTATACATCACACCCACTTATTCATCACACCCTTATTTTGTCATATTCTTTATATGTCACACCCTAATATCAAAAATAACTCAGAAAATGCCTACTCTAACCAACTCTTAAGAATCAGATACCTATGATATAAACTACTACTATTTTAAATACAAAGACTACTATAGAGTTGGGCTTCAAAAGGTCAAACCTCAAGCTCTAAGAGTCCTTCCACCAGCAGCTAAACCAGGCTATTGTAATGATAAAAAACAACAACATTACTTTAAAGTCTCACTATAACTTGTAATCACAACTTGGCTTTGTGGCAAATTTTATATAAGCTTTACTTCCTAATACTACAACATTACTTATTCAACCACAATTGGTCAACCTATTAATCCAACTCAAACTCAAATAAGAAATACTATCTCTTCACAAAGTTTTAAAAAAACAGAAGAACTACCAGCCTTACCAATTCCTAAATCAACTAATCAAATACAACTTTCTTTATCCTTAACAGCATGTGTTCTTTTTCCAAACTTTCAAATAGACCCAACTTCTACAGCTATAATTGCACACTCTCAACACTATCATACTTGCTTTCTCTGTAAACTTAAAAATATTCAATATGTCTTCACTGACAATTAACAAAACTATGCTCCAGATTACACAATGGCATGCATTTTTAAAGGCTCTCTAATCCATTGTATTTGCATATTATATATCATAAATCTTAAACTCAAAATTAAACCAACTAAACCAATAACTCCACTTAACTCTAATCAAAAGAAAGTAATCATTTTTTATAAACTTAGCATTATGTCTATAAAAGACAAAATCCAATTATACAAATCTATTTTTCGAAAAAAACCAAACTTTTAACACTTTACCAAAGAACAAAATCAAAAACAAAAACAAATATCTAAAAATACTTCTAATGACCTTGATTGGTTCAAAGAATTTTCAATTATTGAAGAAATAAAACATTATACTAAACTCGACAACAAACTAGCTCTATATTTATTTGAATTCATTAAACTATATCTCATTAATGTATATCTAGGAAAAATTATTAAACAAGCAACTGAAAATAAACCAGCATCTAAATTTAATTAATGTATCTAATTAAAACCTTAGCTGGCCAACAGCCTAAATTTCTTATAGATTTTATTTATAAAAATAACCTTTCTACAAACCAATTCTTTGCTATTCCATTTGAACTAATTCACTTTACTTTTATTACACTTCTCAAAGAATTTATTACTATACTCTTTACCCACCTCAATTATCCAAAAATCTTCACTTTATACAGCTCGATTCTACCTTATACTACTTCAAATAGAATGCAAGTTGCACTAAACTTTGCATGCTTATATCTTATTCTTTATAACAAATATAAAACCATCAATACAAAAAAATTCTATGAAGATCTTAAACTCTATTCAATATTCTTTAAACTTCATTATTACATTAGTAAGAACAGCATCAATCAACCTTTTTTTAAAATTCAAAATGATAATAAATTTAATATCAATATATTTCTTAATATTTCAAAACAACAATTTTTTTAAATTTTTCAAATTCCATCTCTTAAAGATCACTTAACACAATTCAAAACATGGTTTGATACTTTCTTTGATATTTACAAATGACAATTAACTCAAATTAATAAACAAAAAACATTCAACTTTATCAAATATCAAATTGCTCTCAAACTCTCTAAAACTTGTAAAGCCTTTTTACCTCAACAATTCACTATTACCTCTATTAACTCACTACGTGAATATTCACAACTCTGCTTTAAAGCAGCACTCTATCACATTCATACATGTATTATAGAAAACTGTACTATACTACCAGATAATACTGAACACAATGTTAAAAATCTGTTAGCTAAATTTTTTAAAGAATCCTTCAAATACTATCCTGCACCTACAAACTCTAATTCAAACTCAAACATCAAAACTAAATGGTTATATCCAATACTAAATATTGCAATTTTCAGATATGATAATGATTTCTTAGCAATCTTTCAAAAACCAACACCAATTACTTATCTTTGACAACTAGCAGCCAAAACTGAATTGGATTTCTTAGAAATTAACAAACTTAACAAATCAGACCATCATGATGTTACTCATGAAAGTTACTACTTTTATAATTATTTTAATGCATACCTCAAAGCAACTGCTATAAACAATTAAATAGATAACCTTCATCTTCACTAAGCAATTAATAAAATCACATCAAAACCAATCGATACCTACTTCTTAGCTAAAGTAATTACCTATTTCTATATACTCAAATCTCTCAACAAGCTATTTATGTCTTATATCAGGAAAGTTTATTAAGAATAATTTTATCCTAAAGCAGAAAAAACACTACTTTTAAAATTCAAAATTCAGTTCAAAGCTCCTAAAATTAATACAAATTTCTTCAAACCTAAACTAAACAAAACTATTACAGAAAATACATCAAAATCACCCTTTACAACACAATCTATAGAAACTAATAAAACAATATCTAATCTTATAACAAATCCTAACAATGATGTTATAATGTCTGACTCTAACACAAATCAAGAAATTATCGATACTAATCAATCTAATACAAATACCAACTTTACCCTAAATAAAAAATCTATTAATCTACTATCTACAACTTTCTATAATCCTTTTTAATAACTCCTTCTGTAGAATCTTCAAATGACTCTATAAAAGAAAACTTTGTCAAATTATTACCAACATTCTTAGACTCCTATGATTTGAACATTTGTTACAACAAATACCTATTATACTACAACCTTACACTTTTAAAAGAACCTCAAACTATACAATTCTTTTATTTTCATCTTGACAATTATGTCTCACATCTAAAAAAATATGTCATGATCTCACTAACCAAAAATAAAAAGAAGCATATATCTACCTACTTCATAATACAAACTTCTACCAAATCATATACTTCCTCTATCATAGGATACATACAATATACCACTTAAGTCATATACAAATTCTATACCAACTTCAATACCAACAAATG